AAAATGGACTGGTCTTTAGATTTAGTTCTGAGTTAGAGGTCAGTTTGTGAAAGGATTAAAAAATTTTAGAAATATGGACATTTGTGTTTGGGTTGTGTGTATGTGTGTGTGTGTGTGTCTGTATGTGTGTGAGCATTTATGCTGCGTGTTTTATCCATATAACTTGTTTTATTTTGAATTAAAAAAGGACAAATGGGGAAACACTTTCATAGTTGGTGTTTTAATTAAAGGTGGATGGTTCAATATTTTCCAAAGTTATCAGATTATTATAACAGAATCATTTTCTCTATTCGAACCCAATATTATAGACAATAAATTCTAAATAATTAAAAATATGTTTCATTCTCAAATTCACTTCACAATATAAAAACTTCAGCTACTCTCAAGGGAATCATACTCTTGAGAATGAAATCAGTATTTAAGTAAAGTAAAATAAAATATTAATAGGTCTGTATGAACTTTTTTGAGGCCTGTGTAAAAATATGGAGTAAAAAGTTAATAAAACTGATTTATTATTTGGCTCATTAATACTAGACTTTATGACCAATCCTGAATTCCAAACAGAATTCCTTATTATAGACCAGCTCACCTTTCTCTTTGGACTGTGGAAAGTAGAATGTCCAGAGAAATTTATTCTCTTTAAACATATTCTTTCAATCCTTTCTGAATTAGAGTCAAATTTGGTATATTAATATTACAATAATTTTCTAAGAAGGCATTATATGCATTAAGGAAACTTCACTTTATAAAGGAAATGTTTTTGCAAAATTATAAATTAGTCGTATTTTAACATTTCTTATTTACCTTTGTTTTTTACAACAACCTTGTGGCAAATCATCATGTACTAAAATGAAGTAATATTTTTATATATATTGTGTTTTTTCAAGTTAGGACACATTGATTCTTTTGAAAAAAATTAACTTATTCGGATAATTGTAGATTTATATGCAGTTGTAAGAAATAATACAGAGAGAGCCCTGTACCCTCTACCCAGCTTCTCCCAGTGGTAACATCTTACAAAAGCATAGTGCAATATCATTACCAGCTTATTGACATTGATAGAGTCAAGATACAGAACTTTTCCATCTCCAAAAGATTCTCCTTCTGTTGCCATTCTATAGACACACATCTCCTCTTCCTCAACCCCAAGGCAACCACTAATCTGTTCTCCTTTTCTATAATTTATTGCGTGTCTTCTCTCTTTTTTTTCCCTTTGTTCACTTACTAGAAGTTTGTCAATTTTATTATCTTTTCAAAGACCTAACTCTCTGTTTCATTGATATTCTCCACTGTTTTTTTTAATTGTATTGATTTCCATTTTTATCTTTATTATGTCCTTCTTTCTATTTGCTTTGGTTTTAGTTTGCTCTTCTTCTTGCAGGTCCTTGAGGTGGGACATTATGTTATTGATATGAGACTTTTCTTCTTTTCCAATATAGGTATTTAGTGCTGGAAATTCCTCTTAGCATTGCCTTGGTTGTGCCTTACGCATTTTGATATTTTGTATTTTCATTTTCATTCAGTTAGTATATTGTTTTGATTTCCCCTGGGACTTCCTTTTTGACCCATGGATTATTTAGAAGTATGTTGTTTAGTTTCCAAGTGTTTGGAGATTTTCCTGTTATCTTTCTGTTTTGTTTTTTTTTTAAAGATTTTATTTATTTATTTGACAGAGAGAGAGAGATAGCGAGAGCAGGAACACAAGCAGGGGGAGTGGGAGAGGGAGAAGCAGGCTTCCCGTGGAGCAGGGAGCCCGATGCGGGGCTCGATCCCAGGACCCTGGGATCATGACCTGAACCGAAGGCAGACGCCCAACGACTGAACCACCCAGGCGCCCCTATCTTTCTGTTTTTGATTTCTGGTTTGAACCCATTGTGTCTGAGAACCTACTCTGTATGATTTCAGTTCTAAACTTGTTGAGATCTGTTTTATGGCCCGGAACATGGTCTGCCTTGGTATATATTCTGTGAGCACTCGGAAAGAATGAGTACTCTGCCTTGTTGAGTGAAGTGTTCTGTAAATGCCTATTAGATCCTCTGAGTTGATTGTGTTGTTGAGTTCTTCTATATCTCTGCTGCTTTTCTGTCTCATTGTTCTATCAATTGAGCAAGGAGTATTGAAGTTTCCAACTATAATTGTGGACGTGTCTATTTCCTCTTTCAATTCTCTCAATGTTGATTTCATATATTTTTCTGTTTTTTTTTTTTTAAAGATTTATTTATTTATTTTAGAGAGAGAGTGAGAGTGTGTGGGCCAGAGGGAGAAGGAGAGAGAGAATCTCAAGCAGACTCCCCACTGAACACAGAGCCCCACGTGGGGATCCATCTCATGACCCTGAGATAATGACCTGAGCTGAAACCAAGAGTCATTTGCTTCACTGACTGAGCCACCCAGGCGCCCATATTTTTGTTTTTTGTTGTATACACTTTTAAGATAGCTATGTCTTTTATTGGTGGAATGACACTTTTATCCTTATATAATGTCCCTCTTGGTCTCTGGTAGTTTTGTTTGCTCTGAAGTCTACTTTATCTGGTATTAATATAATCGGGGAAGTGAGGGTGTCAGTAGAAGTTTAGGTTCCCCAGGCAGCTTCTGTTGACACCCAAGGTGGGGAGCTCCTTGTTGCTGATGGGTGGGGATATGAGTTCTACTCCCCACATGGTCTCCGCTGACACCACAATGGGATGGCCTCATTGCTAGGCTGACTCCCTACTTGGTCTTTTCTGACAGCACCCCAAGGAGGGGTACCTTTTAACTGCCAGCAGGGGGTGGAAGTCCAGGCTCCCTACATGGTCTCCACAGACACCTAAGGGGTGATGGGGAATGTTACAGACCAGTGTGGGTAAATGTCCTGGCTCTCTACCTCGCTCTGAAACCACTCTGGAGAGAGTATAGGGTCACCTCCTTACAACCCACTAAGGGTGGATCTCCACTTGGTCTTTGCTGGTTTCAGTTGGGATAGAACTGCAGTGTTTTTTCTGTGGTGTTTGGCTTAGGTCAAGCTGTTATTAATGTAAAAGTTTTCTGTCTACTCAGGCAGTCCCTTTCCTTCCTTGCTGTAGAGAGCATGGTTTTCTTGAGGCTTTTTTTTTTTTTTTTTTGGTCAGTGTCTGTTGGTGTTTCAGAGTTGCCAGCTTTTCAACTCCACGTCCCAAATACATAAAGCAAAAAACAAAAACAAAAAACCAAGAGAATTTACCACTGTGTTGTTCTTTGGGATCTGAGGTCCCTAGTGGGTCTGCTTTCTGCTCTTTGCCTTTCAGAATCATCTCATGTTCATTTTATATATAATGTCCAGAGTTTTTAGTTGTACTTACTAGGAGAAGTAGAGAAAAAAACATCTACTCCATAATGCAGAAGTGGAAGTTCCAGAATGCTTCTTTTTAAGAATATCTAATTTATGGGTTCATGTTTACTTAAAAATGGAATAAATGTGAATATTGAAATTATAAGAATCTGCATATTCTAACGTTAACCCATCAGTATCTATAACAACAACTTTAAGTACTTTCAGTAAAATACAACATTTTATTGCAAATTGTAAATGATCACTTACTCAGAAAAAAATTACTGATTTTTTTTTTTTTACTAAATGTGCCATTTTATTTTGGATGCAGTTGTTGCCTTTGGAGTAATAGACATTGAACATGAAAACTCCTCTTCTGTTTTAAGTACACTATGATTTACTGTCCCTCTATGGTGAAGAACACTTGTATCTGTAACTAAGGAGGAAGGGAAAGGAATATAAAAGATGTTAAACATTTCCTTTTTCTCCCTTGAAATGACTAAAGAGCAATTTAAAAGATCATGAATTAGCACATTCTAATCAAGTTTGCTCCTGATTAAACTGGCCACGTTGTGTAGAGCAAAATATCTGTAGAAGCTATAGTTTATAATGCTTATGTTCCTGAAAATGTTATCCTGGTAAAAAGGTTAATCTGCACAAAAGAAAACAAAAAATGTATTTATTCAAGTAAAAATGGGCAAGGAACGATTTGCAATGTTCATGTTTGATAACTGAAGTCGGATTTCTCAAAATCAAATTTATAGTTATGAAACTTGGTCACAGCTTACCCAGCGGTTTCTAGGATTGAAGAAAATAACTATTGAAGTGAAAAAACCAACAAAAACCCAGCCACAAAACAAAACAAAACATGAATGGTGCTTGGCTGTTTCTGGATAATGAATGGGAAGAAGTCAGTTTTATTACCATGCTTACCCAGATGGCTCATAGGCCCACATTTCATTCTCCCTTCTGGATAAGTGAGCTTTTTATGGTTCACTTTTAGTGTAGCTACTTTTAACTCAGGATCTGCATTGTGTTAGCCTGATGATTAAATTATGATGTGTATTCCAATCCAAAAAATTAGTTTTTGTTTATTCTCTTAGTAGTTCTGCCTTTCTGGTTGAAACTTGAATAGGATGATCTTCACAATTATCTTGTACCTTCAAATATGTTGGTTCTCAAACCCATTAAAGTTAGTGCAAGAACCACAACGGGTTCCTGTGAAACATGGGGATTACCAGTCACCACCTCCAGAAATAAATTCTGATTCACTGAATCTGATGTGTAGCTTAAGGATGTACATTTTATATGAGCATCAGATTCAGGTGGTCCAGGCACCATGCTTTGAACGAACACCTATGAATATTTTGTCATATTTAAAATAAAATATATTTCATTGAAATGAAGGTTTCCAAAGTAGAATTTCCTCTCCATTACTGGTGGTGTTAAAGCCAAATCTAGGTGAACTCATTCAATAAGAATTAATTATTCACTTGTATGTTAGAAGCACATTCCAGGGTGGGAATGGGTATCAAGGTATCTGGTGAAAGATATCTAGTAGAAAGTTTGACTCAGATAAAAGACTATTCCAGATAGCTGGATATCAAAACTTTAATTTTCAACTGTATAGAATGAGATAATGAAAGATTATATCATGGTTTAAAAAAGAGGTAATGGGAATATTTTTCTGTTTGTATTTTATTCATTTCCACAGCTGGATTTTGATGGCACCATTACTATAGAGGAGCAGATTGTCCTTGTGCTGAAAGCTAAAGTACAGTGTGAACTCAACATCACAGCTCAACTTCAGGAAGGAGGTAAAGGTGCTAAAAATTATGTCTTCTTGTGTCCCTACCCTACCCCAGTCCTCAAAAAGACTCAAATTCCCCTTTTAAGAAGTAGTAGGGTGTTCCTCATCAGTCATTACATGTTTTCATATGAAGGATCATGTAGCAGAATCATGCTCTTTTCATTTCTTTCTTTCTTTTTTTTTTTTTTAAAGATTCTACTTATTTATTTGACAGAGAGAGACACAGCGAGAGAGGGAACACAAGCAGGGGGAGTGGGAGAAGGAGAAGCAGGCTCCCCGCTGAGCAGGGAGCCCGACGTGGGGGCTCAATCCCAGGATCCCAGGATCATGACCTGAGCTGAAGGCAGACGCTTAACAACTGAGCCACCCAGGCGCCCCACTCTTTTCATTCCTTTAACCACAAGCTCTTCCCTCCCTATGGACAGAATAACTTGCCTGATTTTTGAGTTTCAGAATAGCAGCTGGGCATGTGCACATCAGTCTCTCAGGCCTCTCTTTGGGATCTGTTTGCTTGCAGAGAGCAAGCATCCTGGTTTGCCCTTAACCAGGTAGTAAGCTTGGAGGGACAGGCTCTGTTCGTGTGCATATTGCTTGCAGTTTTAGGTAGTATATATGAATATCAGAGGAACAGACAAGCAGGCCTTTTTATATGTACCTAGGCCCTGTTCTCAAAAAAAATGTTCTTCTTAATAAAATGATTATTTAATTTCCATATGCCTGGCTCTCTATGTAATTTCTTGACTGGTTCCACATTCAAGTGGGGAACTAGATATGTAATTTCTCAGTTAGTTCCAAATTCAAGTGGGGAACTAGAAAAGCAAAACGACAACACTACAAGTGAGCTTGTGGTCGCCTTGGTGCACTTGGGTGGCTTACTGTTGTAACTGCTCAGGAGCTTGTGGCTTGTGCTACTTGGGGCCTGGTGATCACTCTCAATTCTTACTGGAGCCATTGAGAAAAGTTATTTATTGGAATCTTTGGAGTAGTAGGTAAGTTACAATGTTTTATATGGGAAAATGCCTTGCCCTTATAGTTGAGTATAATTAATGAATTTTTAAAAAAGGGAGGTGCTATTTACTGAGCTTCCCTCAATTCCCAACAGTCTGAATGCAGCAGATGTCTTTAAAGCTATGCCCTACTAAAATTAACAACTCAGGAAACAACAGATGTTGGCGAGGATGTGGAGAAAGGGGAACCCTCTTATGCTATTGGTGGGAGTGCAAATTGGTGCAGCCACTCTGGAAAACAGTATGGAGGTTCCTCAAAAAGTTAAAAATAGAACTACCCTACAACCCAGCAATTGCACTACCAGGTATTTATCCAAAAGATATAAACATAGTGATTTGAAGGGGCACATGTACCCCAGTGTTTATAGCAGCAATGTCCACAATAGCCAAACTGGGGAAAGAGCCCAGATGTCCATCAACAGATGAATGGATAAAGGAGATGTGGTATATATACCCAATGGAATATTACTCAGCCATCAAAAAGAATGAAATCTTGTCATTAGCAATGACGTGGATAGAACTAGAGAGTATTATGCTAAGCAAAATAAGTCAGACAAAGACACCATATGATTTCACTCATATGTGGAATTTAAGAAACAAAACAGATGAACATAGGGGAAGGGAAGGAAAAATAAAATAAGATGAAATCAGAGAGGGAGGCAAACCATAAGAGACTCTTAAGCCTAGGAAACAAACTGAGGGTTGCTGGAGGGGAGGTCAGTGGGGGGATGGCATAATTGGGTGATGGACATTAAGGAGGGTACTTGATGTAATGAGCACTGGGTGTTATAGGCAACTGATGAATCACTAAATTCTACCCCCGAAACTAATAATACAGTATATGTTAACTAAATTGAATTTAAATAAAAGATTTAAAAAAAAATAAAGCTATGTCTTAGGGGCGCTTGGGTGGCTCAGTTGATTAAGCTTCAGACTTTTGATTTCAGCTCAATTCGTGATCTCAGGGTTGTGATATTGAACTCCGCACTGGGTGTGGAGCCTGCTTAAAACTTTCTCTCCCTCTCCCTTTGCCCCTCCCTGCCTCCTCTTCCTCCCTAAAAAAAAAAAAGGGCTATGCCCTATAATGAAATATCTAGTTTAATCTACTTCATTCTAATTGCCAAATACTTAATTTAAGAACATTTAAAGTTTATAACTTCTCCCTCTTGAATAATATAAGCAATTTGAAATACTTTAATTACTTCCAAATTATATTATTGTCATATAATTTTATATTAATAAAGTCATATAGTTTCATATTAATTATATGTTATAATTTTTCTTCAAGATGAAGTATGTCTTTTTGTAAGATTTCTTTACATTAGAACTTGATTGCAGTGAACACTCTCAGTGTTTGTCTGAAAAGGTGTTTATTTCAGTCTTAATCTTCAAAGATACTTTTTCTGGACATATGATGCTTGGTAGAGAATTATTTACTTTTCATACCTGAATATTATTTCACTTTTACTCTAGCTTCCATTGTTATTAGTGACAAATCAGTACTCAGTCTTTGTTGATGATTAGTTTTTTCTCTCTGGCTCCTTTTAAGAGCTTTTCTTTACATTTGATGTTCTCCGGTTTTATCTGCACTCAGGAAATGGATATGGATTCTAGGTATGGATTCATTTGATTTCTGAAGTCTGAGGATCTGTGTCTTTAGTCATTGGTGGGAATGGTTTGCTATTTTGTCTGAAACTTTGCTCTCTCCCATTCTCCTAGTCTTTCCATCTGGAACACTAATTAAACAAATGTAGGACCTTCTCACCCTACTCTTTGTGTCTTCAAAAAATAAATCAGATGAAATAATATGGCAAAATATGAGCAAGTGTCAATTCCAGGTGCCGTATATATATAATATTTTATTTTATTTATGAAAAAATTGTAATAAAAAGAAAATACAAATTTTCTTCATGTCTGTGAAAGTGAAAGAAGTATAAATGCAAATACCTAGCTACAAAATGATTCAAGTAGTTAAAAACAAAACCCAAAATATTATTGATCCTGGTTTGACTTCACAAATGTATGGTTACACTCTATTATGGGTAACTATAGAACTGGAAAGAGACAAAGTTGGAGTTTCCAAATTTTAGACTGTTTTGTGTGAAGATCATGGTGTGACAAGCCCTCACTAATAAGTAGTTTGTCCTGGCACACACAAAAGATGACAAGAAATGTAATTAATGGTGTTAATTTATAAAGAGAGATTGGTGAATCATCAGGCAATTAATTAGTTTCTTGGTAACTGATGAAAGTATTTACTCACATAGGATGTGAAATGGTGATCAAAGAGTAGATGTTAATTAAGATCTCTGTATGAGCTGTGTGAGGCCATGGCTTCCCCAGTCCTTTCAACGTTTGTGAATATTTACTATTCTCTTTGTCAAAGAGCCACCAGAGAGATGAACACAATCTACAGAAACATTATTTTTGAGGAATGTTGGTTTTCTGAATTTTGGGGAGTGTGTGTGTATGTGTGTGGGGTGGTATCTTGTAAGGAACTAGAAAACTGTCCCCCTTAGAGCATGAGGAAAATATCAGCTGATTTGTCTCCATGGTAGTTTAAAAACTACATAATTATAGAATAAATGGTCATTGGGTTTTAAACTTGTATGAAGACCTTATTCCATCATGTAACTAACTCTTGCCAGAAAATATCATGATATTGCAGCATACATTTTATCTATCATCTACCTATCTATCATCATCTATCTATCATCTATCTATTTTAGAGACAGAGATAATACAAGTGGTGGGAGGGACAGAGGAAGAAGGAGAGAGAGAATCCCAAGCAGGCTCCACGCTCAGTGCGGAGCCCTGCACGGGTCTCAATCTCACAACCCGGACGTCATGACCTGAGTCAAAATCAAGAGTTGGGTGCTTAACTGACTGAGCCACCCAGGCACCCCTGCAGCATACATTGTAGGGGGACAACTAGTTGTCAGAACACAAGAATGTGTGTCCAGGTCCAATTTTTGTAGATGCACAATAGACATCTGGTAAAGGATTGGACAGTACAGATAAAATGAGGATGCATGACTTGTTAAAGACAAAGTGAGTGGATGTGAAGCCATATGGAATGGTAGTAAGATACAGAAGAGTGTCTAGGGTAAAGTTGGTGAAAGAGGTTGATTCATTGCACTCTGTTTGAATGAGAAACAAAAACAAAACATAGGTAATGGTGGAAAGAAGCCAGTGAAGCTGTGCACCAGAAGCAAGAGTCAGTGTGATGGGTTTCTGGGTTGCTTGTGATATGTAAAGTATAGGCTTTTATTATGTGAGCAAAGTGAGGCTGTTTCCAAGAAAATGTTCTCTTCTATAAGAACAGTGTGGGTGAGGGAAGACATTTTCTTTTTCTTATTGCTTCAGCAATCCCCAAAGCAAATCGAGTTGTTTGTTTCCATGTGATATGGAGGACACTAAGAAGTTAATTTCAGGTTTATGCCGAATTCTTTTCTGTACAGATCAGGGTTTGCCTGACTATTCAAAACTGAACAAACAACTTGACATCATGAACATCAGTTAGAGCAAAATTCCTCAGCCGCAGTAGTGTACTTGGTAACAAAAAAATTGAGAGAGCTATAATGGATAGGACTTGTGGTAGCAGAGTAAGGGTCCCCAAAGATGTCCATACCCTACCTACCTGGTGTTATGCCTGTGTATGCTATGCTACCTAGCACAGGGACACTGCAGGTGGAATTACAGGCCTTAAAATGGGGCAATTACCCTGGATTATCTGGATGGGCCCCATGTGGTGTATGCGGTGGATGAATCAGGAGGGGAAAAGGAGAGTGGAAGAGAGACTTGACGAGAAGGGTCACCTTGACTTGTTGACTTTGAAGATGGAAGGAAGGAGTCATAAACCAAGGAATATAAGTGGTTTCTAGAAGTTGATCGCCAGCAAGGAAATGGGGAACTCAGTCCTAGCTGAACTCACTGGACTTCCGACTTAAAGAAATAGTGAGATAATAAGTTTGGGTTATTTGAAGCCATTACGTTTGTGGTAATTTGTTATGGTAGCAATAGAAAAAATGAATACAACACTCATTAAAAGTAATCTCATTTTGAAACGAAGAATATGCTCTCTTCCTGGAAGTTCAATACACAACTAATGGAGAGCAGTCCTAAAGAACACACAATGTTGACTCTGAATATTTGTTAAGCCCCTGCCAAGTACCGGGTGGCTAAGGCATGACACAAAACAGACAAAATTCCCCACCTTTAGGGTCCCTGTGGTTTAAGAAACCAGTAATAAAATAACACTTGCTATTGGAAGGCAATGAGAGCTCAGGTAAAAAGTATAGAAGGAAGGGGTGTAAGGAGTGTTCTGAAGGTAACTATAAATGGGGAAAGTTTACTCAGAAGTGACCTGTGAGTAAAAGTCTATAGGGCAGAGGGGAATAAACCTTAAGCCATCTGGTGAACGCACTGAATTGAAGGGAGAGCTAGGAGGACCTTCGCAGAACTGAGGTCAGGGAGATAAGTATGGGGGAAAGCGGATCTTGCAGGGCTTTCAGGCTTTGTAAAGACTTGGCTTTTGCTGGGAGTGAGATAGGAAGCCTTTGGAAGATTTTGGCTTACTGTGTGAATGAATGAAAGGAGAGCAAGAATGGAAACTGAAAGACCAGATTTACCTTTCAATGAAAACTTTCTTTAATTTATGTGTAAAAAACTAGAATGGCATTTTGAATTCACTAGCTAATTTAAGAAATTTCCACTTTTAAATTCCCTTAAGGTTGAGAGAAGCGTATCAAAATATTTAAGAGTGAGTGGTTATGCTGTCTGCAATTTACTTTAAAATACCTCAGCAAAAAATAAATTAGATGAAATAAATATGGTAAAATACTAGCAAATGTCAATTCTGGGTGATATGTGTATGTGTATATATATATTCAATGTTCTGCTTTATTTATGAAAAAATTTTTGTAATAAAATTTTTCCTCATGTCTATGAAAGAAAATGAAATGTAAATGCAAATACCTAGTTTTAAAATGATTCAAGTAGTTAAAAACAAAGCCCAAAATATTATTCTTCACAAATGTATGGTTACACTGTGTTATGGTTACATTATATTATCAGTTCAGTTATAGAACTGAAAAGAGACAAAGTTGGAGTTTCCAAATTCTAGATTGTTCTGTGTAAATATCATGGTTTGACAAGCTTGGACCATGGGTGTGGCAATGGAGGTTTTGAGAAGTGCTAGGGTTCTGGATGCATTTTGGCTGGTTAATTGCCCCCACTCCAAATCTTTATACTTGATTCTTGAGGAGAGTAGAGCTTGTGAGAATTTTGTTTGAGATGAGTGTTAGACTCAAATTACTAGAATTATTGATAAAAAGAAAAAAAAGAATTATTGGTAAAAAGAAAAAAAAGAATTATTGGTAAAAAGGCAAACTCAAATCTTGGAACTTACCTGGGAAGCTCTATCTGTTTCAGGTATCATATTTTTTAACAGCAAGTTTTTAAAATCTAGGGTAAAAAATGTAGCTACAACTATGATAGAATTTTACTACAGTTGTTCACAATGAATTCCAATGTTTCTTATGTATTAATTGCTATAACTCATATATAGCAGAATCACTAAAATATTTTTAATTTATGCAAATCAAATGTTCCTCTTAATGGACCAGGTGAGATGGATGAATCTTAGGACATTTGCATGGTATCTACCCCATTCTAGTTTCCACAACTACCAATTTGTTTTACATTTTGCTGCAGGTGGAGACCTAAAATTTTGTATTTTGAGCACATTTACTGTCTGGTTCCAATTGCATTTTTGTTTATTTGCTTTTTAATTTTTTTCTTTATTAGAGGGAAATTGTTTCCCAGAATGGGATGGACTCATTTGTTGGCCCAGAGGAACAGTGGGGAAAATATTGGCAGTCCCATGCCCTCCTTATATTTATGACTTCAATCATAAAGGTATTGAATTTTTCTGAAATGATTAATTTGGAACAGTGCTGGGTGGCTAAGGCATGAAAGCCAAGAGAATTGAGCAATCTCAATGTTTTTCTTCATGTCTTTACAGGAGTTGCTTTCCGACACTGTAACCTCAATGGAACGTGGGATTTTATGTACAGCTTAAATAAAACATGGGCTAATTATTCAGACTGCCTTCGTTTTATGCATCCAGATATCAGCATAGGAAAGGTAATGATAATTTTTTGTATTTGTGAACCCCACAAGGAAAATGGGATAATATTTTTATACATTTCTTGATTGCCAACTATTATATATAAAAACCCCTTTATTCTAGGACACAAATGTCCTAAAAGATAAAAGCAAGGTTGGAATCTTTTTAGCTATCCAGTTAAGGAATGGTGTAGGACCTGAAACATTCTGGTATTTTCTTGAGGTTAGAGTTATCTGGCTAAGATATATGCATATATACTTATAAGTATGTGTCTGTGTGTATTATGTTATAGTACATTATGTTTACATTATATTATGCTATATTAAATATTTTGCTTAAATATCGAAATAGGTAGTCAGCAACATGATTAATGATTTCTTTTTTGTTACCTATGAATGGCTACATCTCATTTCACTCTATATTCCTAAAGGAGATTTGTATTTTAAAGATGTATTTGTTGGGGCGCCTGGGTGGCTCAGTCGTTAAGCATCTGCCTTTGGCTCAGGTCATGATCCCAGGGTCCTGGGATGAAGCCCCACATCAGGCTCCCTGCTCAGCGGGAAGCCTGCTTCTCCCTCTCCCACTCCCCCTGCTTGTGTTCCCTCTCTTGCTATGTCTCTCTCTGTCAAATAAATAAATAAAATCTTGAAAAAAAATAAAGATGTATTTGTCATTTCATAAGATTGGCCAGTAGGTGATCTCTTTAGTATATGAAAGATCAGAGTTGTAGAATCAAGGAGAAGCAAAGGGCATCCCATAGGTCTTCCAGATGACACCTTAATTTTACACATGAGTAAACTGAGAACCAGAGATTAGGTGTTAGTCAGAGTGACCCAGCTCACTGATGACAGGATCTAAAGCTGAATCCTGATCTCCAAATTCCTCATCAGTGCTATTTGCAGTATAGCAATCATATGTAAATGTTGGAAACTTCTAGATAGTCACTTTTAAGTGAATTTAAGTCATGCTTAAATTCCTGTCACTCAGACTTCGTGAGTAAAATGCATGATGATATATGCATATGATGTTAGGAGTTAATATGATAAATGGATATATAAGTGGCTTTTATGGGGATCCTGAGAACAGTCTATCATACATAAACTCTACCAGCATTTTTCTTTATGCTTGATTTTTTTGGAAGGAGGGGGAGTAGGGAGAGCAGTAAGGGAAGCAGTGAGTTGAAGATTTCTTTGATTTTGCACTAATAATCAGGACTTTCTTTCTTTTTTTTTTTTAAGATTTAATTATTTATTTATTTTTATTGATAAAAAGAAAAAAAA